ATATATTCAGCTATAACATTGATCCTGACTTGATAGAGTCAAACTGACCGCGGATTTGGACTCAGGACAGGTCAACATACTACAGGATTATAATTGTCTCAACACCAGATCCAAAAAAATTGGTTTGTGTGACTGTGTTATAAATAATCACATTTTTACCAATTTAAGGTTGGTGGCAAAGGAAAACGGGAAGATTTGGCAGAAAAATTAGAAAGCCTCCTCCAGTGAAAGACATAAATCCTATTTCGACCCCGCGAGCAGAGCGAGTCGCTCTAACATACACTCACCCTTTTGTTCATACAAACCAACCATGCTTTCACTATTAGCGATAAATGTCCTTAAGTTACTCGTTTTACACGATTTTGTTGGCATATTTTCAATAAATGTTCAGTGTAGACGACATAATAAAGTTATTATGTAAATTATTTATTGTTTTGTATAACTCTATATATAATATGAACAAACACTTGCAAATGCAGAGCTGGGGACGAGACACCGGAAAATATGCTACTGTTTGTCTGATAAACTACTGAATAATAAGCAAAATAATTAAATAGTTTCCCGGTTTAATTGACTATTGAATTATTTATTTTTAGTAACAGGGTTTTATCAGTCGAATTAACTTTTTAAATGTTGATATAAGCATTAAGCAACAAACCGTTTCTGAAATTCTGTTAAGAGGAAATTCCGATGCTACATATTTTTCAACGTGGATTTAGTATTAGCAAATTCTTGATTTGGGCTGATTATTTACATTTTTCGAAAAATTACTTAGAACTTTAGGAGGGTAAATATTGAACAAAGCTTCTTTGGGCATTCGACCACGTATTCTCTTCCTTCATGATCTTATTTTTCAAATAATGTTAGAATTTTCTGAATACACATTACGACAATCGTTTTGAGAGGCGGCCCACAACTTTCGCCACCGAGATCAAGTATAAGATAAGTATTGTTGAAGCAGATATAAAAGACAACACTTCAGCACATTTTGACTTCCCACACATTTCCTTCAAATATTTCCAATTCATCTTGAATTACGCTGTATTTTTGCTGTTTATGCGCTTTCCTTCGTGATGAACAATTCAATAGAAGCATTCATATAAATGAAATGCGAATTTATTACGGCTAAATAAGTAATCTATTTTGCATGAAAATTATTAATTTCAAACTCGATTACGCCATGCAATAAATCGAGTTAAATATTTTATACAAATGAAAATAAAGCGACAAAAAGTTTTTTTTAGGTTTTAGACCAAGCAGAACTTTTTATGAAGAATTACATGTTTTCGTAAAATTAATAATACAACAGTTTCCCAATCTCACGCTAAGTAAGTTGAAAAAAAAATACACTGTATAAGAACATGAAATCTAATGCATATCCAGATTGTATAGGATTTAAAAAGATCAGTTCCAGTTTCTTGACCGATATCGAATAATTGCAAGATGGTTGATTTTCTTGGGAATTCGGTCTGGGCACTGGTGAAGAAAAATAAAAATTTTAGCTCCCTGGCTTTCGGCAATTTATTGTGGCCTTCCTCAGGTCCCAGCCACCTTATGCCTATATGCCTAGTTGGCCTACCTAAGCCTTGCTGACGAATCCAATAGGTAGGACGAGGACGAAACGTAGCCCTGATTCATCAACCCCGCGCCATAACTTGTTCCATTATGCTTGTCTTTATCTATGCCTTTATGTATGCAAATATGATGGGATGCGGGGGGATCTTTATCGTATTCTAGTACGAAAATGAAACCATCGAATTTAGTTTTTCGCATTGTTCGCCATCGTTTGTTTTCATTCGTTTTCCGAAAATCCGTTTTGTTTCGTCTTTAGAGATAGCGGGTGATGTGATGATTAAGGGCAGTAAAATGTGAACATTTCTTGCCTATCTTCTATTTTCATCCTAATCACTGATTACAATTCATCTTATTGCTTAATTAAAAATTGGCCATTTAATACTTTAGCTATGTTTGATATAAACAAATATTGAAACAGGTCTAGACTAGGTAAATAACGCCTATACAAAATTAAATGTAGTTCTTCCACTACTCCACTGCGTAGATGGAACAAATTATATGTTATTTCAGATTGGAGACGGTTGTTACTGCTGTTCCCGATATTTTCTGTCCTTTGAATATTGCGATTTGCCGAATCATGGATGCATGGATTCGAAAAATCATCAGGTCCCACGTCCTACTCCTATACATACTGTAACGGAAATGGCCTGGGGTACTTACGTTTGGAATGGGGGATCGAAATTCATGGTATTTCAGTAAATGGGAGCCCCATTTGGGCCCCATTTAC